CCAAAAATGTTAGTTGAAAAACGTTACAGGGAATAGTTAACTATTTGGTATTAATAATGTGACACAAAAGTTAGATTAATTGAAAAAACGTTACAGTTAACTACCCACTGTTAACTATGTGACACAAATGGTTGGTTGAAGTCGCCCTTACTTAGAAATAACTGATGATTATAAATAATTCAAAGTTTAATCTCGACAGTTTTTTTACTTTTCTAGGTAGGAAGGAGAACCTTTGGTTCCACATCGACGCGTCTTATGCCGGCGCCGCTTTCATTTGTCCCGAATTTAGGTATCTTTTAAACGGAGTTCAAGTAAGTAACAAAAAATCTCGTGTTTTATTAGTTGAAAAGTGAGTCTGTGGATCAATCTCTAGATTTCCTATTCATAACAAGAACATAGGTTTTTTAAATTAACGTCATTCAGTGGCACTAAGAACCGCAGCTGAACGACGGTAGTAAACGTATAATCAAAGAGCTATTCAGAGTTCTCATAAGAGTGAATAAATAAAGGACCTGAACCGTGATTAACTGACGAACCTGGTGAATAAATAAAGGACCTGAACCGTGATTAACTGACGAACCTGGAAGATGGAAGATATAATCCGTGACGTAGAGGCCTAATACGTTCTTTGATTCGACGAATTGGAATGTAATTTATCCTATTCATGGCTCATCAGCACAGCTTAGATCAGCAAACCACATTAATTTAGGTTATTATACAATGAGCTAAAAATAATTCATAAAATACTCTCCGATCCAGTTTATAAATTAGGTCTAAGGTTTAGTTTTCTGCCTTAAAAGAACTTGCCAGTAACCGAAACGTTTTGTTATCCGGCCAGATAAAGGTACAAGTGTCGTCATTTTAAGCAGATCTGATTATTTCTCCAAAATGGAAGACATTTTAAATGCCAGAACAAAGTTTAAACCCCTCGATAATGATGGGATTAAGCCTACTCTCAAGCGTGAAGCAAAGCTTCTAAGGACTAAGATATTTAAAAAACTGTAAACTCATTTCTGACATTACATAACTTTGTCCTACAGGTTCCCGCCCTGGTTTTATGTATGGCTTACCCCCTTTTGTTTATAGTTAATATTGTAACCTTTGAACTGTATCAGAAACCTGTTACTAATGAAGTATGGAAACACGTGCTCCAGTAAACTTTAATTAAACGAACTAAACCAGGTTGGTCAGTTAAATCACGGTTCAGGTCCTTTATATAATCACCAGGTTGGTCAGTTAATCACGGTTCAGGTCCTTTATATAATCACCAGGTTGGTCAGTTAATCACGGTTCAGGTCCTTTATATAATCGACGTAACTCACCACATGGCACAACAATCATAGTTGATCAACATCCACTTCCCAGGAGACAAAACAAAAGAGTCTGCATACTGTAATGAAACACAGCTTTATAGAGACTTTCATAACAATTTCTAGAAATTTCTTTATCAAATTTCAAGTGTTGTAATCTTAAGCTAGGTGGAGTAACTAATACAAACATGGTTTCGTAGGGACAGGATTCACTCAGAATGAAGGGTTATCACTAATCAACAACAAAAAACATTACAAAGTAATGCTCATACTCGTGGCTGTCAGATGGTTATTAGTGAAATATATTCGGACATACAAGTGAGCATGCGCCAATTTTACTGAGATATAGTAATTTAACTAGCAACTTGAAGTGGTTACATTAACAAACTTAGAAACTGTATAATAAGAAATATTCAGGCCTAAGTACACTTAAACAATAACAATGAGAAGCCAAATCTCATCAAGTAAACGGAAGTTTTAAAATAAATAACCTAGCAAAAGTACGGTTAGTAAAAAAAAGTTATACAAAAAATGTAAAAAAATTACGATACTCCTAATTATTGGGATCCCTACATTAATAGATCCTAGCTGGAAGACCTACTGTGGTTCAGCAGTAAATCTGAGGGTTCATAACGCAAAAACTCTGGTTTAGATACCCGCGGTAGGCATACCGCACATAGCCCAATATGAGCTTTGCGCTTAATAACAGACAAACTAGGTGAAAGAAAGGTTATATGTGATAATGTAAATGTTTAACTTCGTTTGATGCCAGTTGTATTACCGGACGAATTGAACCGAGTGGTTTGTGTTTTGTTTCAACTTTTTCATCCTGACATTTCTTCACCGTGCAGCTTTTGTTTCTATAAAACATGGAATAATACTTAATATATTGTTATTTATTAAGCACCAACAAGACGTGTCGCTGTTTACCAAACGTATTCATCTATTATAGGGTGAAAAACGGCGAAGAAATAGTTAAGCCTTTTTGTATAACTCCTGAATACGTGAAATACGACTTGGAAGAACAAACCGTAGATTACAGAGTAGGTTGAACAGTTATATTTGTTTCTTACTCCACAGTTAGCATTTTCTTTTTTATTTATCATGAATAAAACAACATTAGGGTCTAGTTACATCCCAAAAATAATGATAGAACTAGCTGTTTTTGTTCGTAGGTTTGGACTTCACACGTTGAGAATGATAAACGGTATAACGAACGTTTATATACGCAATTGTGCTTGTTTTAGTTTAAGCCTTACATTAAATGTAAGGTTTAGTGTAGACATGGAACTGTGTCCTTTATTTAGATTCTTACAAGAATTTACGTCTACCAAAATTATTTTTAATCGAGTTTTATATTTTAATTTAGTGTGGCAACAATCAATCAGGAGACGTTTAAAAATTATAACAATTATATAAACATTTTCTTATTATAGTTAAGTTTTATTATTTTGATAAAAATCATTTAGATTTCTTCATTTATTTTCCCGTCTTTTCGTTTATGTGAGTGTGAAAATTTTAAGCGCCCCCTATTCTTTTATTATTCATAAAAATTCGTGATTTACAAAATACATGGGAGAATTGGGCCCATGATAGATCCATATTGAACTATTTCTGTAGAATAGCCTAAATTAAATTGAGTTAATAACAGACATTAGATTATCTTTAAAATTAGTAATCATTTTGTTTATGAGATGTTTCAATTTGCCTTAAAGCTGAGCATGATATTTAATGTAGACCTGTCTTAGGTAAAAAAATAAAAAATACTCGTTAATATGATAATATTACATGATAATAAAGTAGACCTGTGGCCAGGTGGTTAAGGCACTCGACTCGCAATCTGAGGGTCGCGGGTTCGAATCCCCGTCACACCTTTATAGTATGACGATCAATCCCATTATGCCCATGTACTTACACTGCTGAATTAGGGACGGCTAACGCAGATAGTCCTCGTGTAGCTTTGCGCGAAATTCAAAACAAACAAACGTTGGATCGTTTTTGTTTGGCGATATATCAGATATTTAGGTTTTTCTTTAAAAGTACTATTTTCTTAATAACGTCACATTTGTTGTAAAAATACTTTTTTATCTAGAACATTATTTTCTTCTAAATTTCAGCACTGGGGAATTACTTTTGGTCGGAGGTTCCGGTCCTTGAAGATGTGGTTCGTCTTTCGTATGTTTGGTGTTAGTGGTTTACAAGCTTATATACGGAAGGTATAGAAATCATTTGTACTTTTCAAGAAACAGGATAATAATACATGATTAGTCTATGAACATCGTAAAATGTTAAGCCTCATTCATTTTATAAGGTTTTGTAGAATTCTATCTAGACTTTCATGTTACATAGTGTTTTATGTATCCGCTTATAACTGGAGAACACCTGGTCCGATTGTCATCAAACCTAGCATGTGCCTTTAGGGCCCCATGGTAAGTCAGAAAGGGTCAGCATTCGGATCTGACCCCTATGTAGTATGTAAATAATTATCGTTTTTGATAATAGGGTACAAGAACCAGTGGTGACGAAACTTTGTTTGTTTTTCTCCAGCCTTTGTTATGTTTATTCTCTTGCTAAATCCACTTCACATTATTTGTAAAAGAATATTTTATTGGCGCATTTAGCAGTTTTAAACTAGTTTCCATAATTATTTAGTCTATACGATTTTACTGATGTTTTCGTTTCAACAGCACGTAAGCCTAGCCCATGAATTCGAAGACTTGGTGAGAAAGGACGTTAGGTTTGAGCTCATATTTCCTGTAACCCTAGGAGTGGTTTGCTTCAGGTTAAAGGTGAGAGAATACTTCTGTAATTTTTTACGTCATGAATAAGTGCACATTATTATACTACATTCAGGCACAACTGATACTTGTCCTTCAATTCAGAATGTCATTTTATGACAAGATGTTTTATGAACACAGAAAACTTAGACTGTAAAGAAACTCCAAACCAAATTACATTCAAGTTCTAGTCAGCTTTAAGGGTCGTCAGATATGTCTATGAAAGTTCTAGTCAGCTTTAAGGGTCGTCAGATATGTCTATGAAAGTTATAGTCAGCTTTAAGGGTCGTCAGATATGTCTATGAAAG